CAACAAATAATAACTTAACATTATTCTTTTAATTATTTATATTCTCTTATAATAATAATACTAATAATAGTAATGGTGATAATAATAATACAAGAGTTAAATGTATTGCTACTTTCCATTACAACTATTAATTACTTTATTATATAAACATGGGTTTATTAGAGCATAACATGGAAATGTATAAATTAAGAGAACAGAGAGAGAGAGAGAGAGAGGGAAGGAGAAAGAGAGACAGGGAAGAGGGAGGGAGAATGCGTGAAACTTATAACTATTCCTTAAACGAAAAAAAATCACTTTCTTTATTCTTCTTTCTTTTTTTGGTTGTTTTTACATGAAAATATACATAGAATAATTTGTTACGCTTGAAGAGTTATTATTATTATTTTTGTTATTTTCTTCAAGTGTATCTATTTTATAAAGTGGTAGTCGAAGATAGTTGATAGGATAACTTGAACTTAGATATTGTTCTATCTATTACTTTTCAGAAAGATATACCTGTAATCTAATGAATGTCCAGTTAGCAAGAAAGTTAGATTTAGGATTCACCTAGACTAGTTGCTACATTGCAACTTGATCGATGGTATTTGATTTGTATTAAAGACCTGACATACATGACATTGGTTACTTCCAAGTGACTAATCAACTGTAAATATATCTTTTATTATTAGTTCCTCTTTGTTGCCATAGTTACTAATTGGTTTTTTCAATTTTCTTGTAAAGTTCATATGATTTGTATCAAATTTAGTACATTACAAATCCGATTTGAGAGTATGAATTACTTAAAAGTATTAGTTCGTGATGAAAATTATATTCAGATGACAATAATCTTTGGAGAGGATTTCATTCTTTCTCTACAAACATGTTGGAGCTGAAATTCCACTTCTGCTCCTTAAATGTTTTATTTTCTCGCTATGGATACAGGTACTTACTTTTACTGCTGGAAAACTACATTCACTGTATCACGTATCAAATATGGAGTTAGGAATGACAAGAACAATAATTGGCCGATAAATATCATTTCAGCTTTCTTTAGGATTGTGAAAAATAGTGTTGGTGATGAACTCTCCAACTTTCTACTCACTGAAAAACTTATCATCGATTCTCAACATGGCTTTCCTTAATTCAATCTAGTATGACCTGACATTTTGACTTCTCTGGTTTATCAGAAGGGGTTTGTGGAGATTTTAGAAATTTTCACAGATTGAAATCATGAGTCAGTTGAAGCTAGACCACCATTGAAAACCTGGAAGCACTGGACGGCCGTTTCGTCCTAGTATGGGACTCCTCAGCAGTGGGCATCCACGATCTCTGGTTTAGTCTTTACACAATGTAACCGAGGATATTTAGTGTTAGTGCTGCACTTTGGCATTTCTAAAACACATGACATAGTTAACAACTAGCTTCCTATGGGTAAAATAACATATTATGTGGTCAAAATCCATATGCTTGCCTGGTTTAACTCTTCCCTAAGCCACCAACGCCAAATAGTTAAAATTAACCCCTATTCGTTGGTTGCTGTCCTGGTCAAAAGTGGTGTAATATAAGGTAGTATCTTGGGCCCATTGTTCTTTTTAGTCTATATGGATGAAATTCGTGATTCCGTTTGTATAGGTAAGCCATTCTGCTACATCAAGATGATATCAAAATAGTGTACTTATTTGCTCCTTATGAGCTGAACAGTATGCGAAATCGCATCATTATAAAACTCAACAAAGTATTTCGGTGGTGCTCAAAATGGCAGTTGGAGCTTAACATGGCTAAATGTGGATGGATATGCTTTGGTAATAATTCACTCAACCAAGAGTTTACCACAAATATCAAGGTGTTTTCCAAGTAACATACAGTAATGGACTTAGGACACATGTATTCTTACAGTTTGTCCTCCTCAGAACAGGTCTTGAAACAGACCTCCAAGTTTCAACTTGGTCTGGGCTGCATAATTTGTAACCTCTATGACAGTGAGTTACATATTTGAATGAATAAAGTATTTGTTCCACCACTCCTAAAATACTGTATGTTTATTCTAACTAGTGTTGGTATAAAGGATAAATTTAGGTTGGAATCCGTTCGGAGACGATTTGCGCTTCACATTTCAGGGACTAATTGTACCTAACATTATAAACCCAGATGCAATAAACTTGAACTGGACTCTTTATGGAAGAGGAGACTCAAACTAAATTTAATATTTTTCTTCAAAATACTCAATAAACTAACTTTTGCAATCACTGAAGTAATTCAATGTTCAGAACCTCCTAGCTACAGCATCCGATTTCCATTAGTGAAACAATCTCATTCTATAATTATTATTTCCAGAATATGTTATTATTATAAGAAACCGTTTAATAGAATAATATTCCTTAGTTGAATAGTAATAAGTTTACAGATATATTCTTGAATTTTTAGGGAAGAATTCAAAATGATGGTGTACACTCAAGTTAATCGAGAGAGATTACTCACTGACCGCAATGAAAGATAGTCTCACTGAACTGCAAAAAGTACTCCATTTCGAAATGTAAATCAATAGTACAGTTTAATAGTGCTTGTTCTTGTGTGATAAGAGAGGTGTGTACTGTTTCGGTTACCGAAAACTGGTAAGAAATAGCCAAAAAATGTCTTTTGATTTTCAAAAGCTTTACAGCCAATTCTATTCAGTGATATAAACTTTATTCTTTGTAAGCAATTATTTCAGTGTTTACACTGAAAACTGACTAATATCTTTATAGATAACAGTAGGATATAGGATCAGTAATTCATTCAGTTGGGAACTGGTCTAATCTTTGCATCCTAATATTCAGATTAGTGTTTAAACAAGTTGGTGAGTTTATGGATTAAGTAGGTAAATGGATGACATGTTAAGGTTTAAAGTGAAAGGTATTGAAATCGAGTTCGAATCTGAACATTACCGATGGGATGCGGGATATGCCTTTGATGAATCTTAAGTAACATGAAACACGATTCTTGGATTCTGCGGCTAGCCCCAATCCATTAATGTAATATATGCAACAAGGAAAGTGAACATTTAATCAAGCATAAATTTGGTTTTCATAGTTTATATTACTATTTGATCTTAGTTGTACAACCAGGGGAAACCAGTGAACACTGGACAGCTGTTTCATTCTAGTATGAGACTCTCCAACATTGTTCATCCATTACTAAATTTCCTAGGTTACACCTGTGGTGCGGTCGTGGATGTAATCTGATGAGGATTTCCATTCAAGGATGAAACAACCTTCTAATTTTTTTTCTAGTTTCCAATGATTATCTGACTAAGATCAGTCTGTACTGTTAACTATGAAATTCCAACAATGTCCACAAACCTACAAAGTTTTTCATAACCCATGTTTAATAAATAATGATGGTCATTTATAACAAAACAGTATAAAAACCACTTAAGTATGATATTCTTAATGAAATTTAGTTATCGTTTAAATATCAGCTTTTATTTCTTAATGTTCCTTTGGTTATTAATATGTAGCAGATTATCAGGAATATGTATTTCCAAGTTTGATCTCATTTACTAAATGAACTTCATCTTGGCATTATAGCTGATGTCAGTTAGTGATGAAAACCCTAAATCTAATTCCTAAACTTAACTATCAACTGTAAATCATAATTCTAATATCTCACACTGGTTTATAACCTTCATTTGGTCCTAGTTATCAGGTGGACAACCTCAAGGTCAGTCTAGAGTCGCTCAAAGGTCGTCCATATATTATAGTCTCACCAAATATCCTTACTTACTTACTTGTAAGATTTCCTGATATAGATGTCAAGGTAACCATAAATCAATTTTTAGTTGAAATATATGATTAAATCGCAGCGATAAGCAAATAAAGCAAGTATCCAGATCTATAAAGTTTCTTCAAATTAGAAAGATAATCTGAATAATTACGTTTTCTAGCTTAAAGTCTATGAATAGGATAGTCGATGATAAGCAGTGATGCATAAGGGCTAGGAGTGGAATCCACAATACACGTTTTGTCTAACTCGGGACAAGCTAGTAGCTATCTGAAAACAACAAATAATTGGATAATGAGATGGCGTTTGAAGAGAACAGTATTAGGTTCAAGTTCCGGAGTGGACATCAATTCCAGGATATAGAGGCACATTCAGCTGAATAATTCCAAATAGGATGAAACACGCTTCATCGATTTCGCTCCTACCCACCATCCATTTCTGCTAATAATACTTGTGATGCGAAGTAATGTCGAAGCAATCCTCATAGGATACACATATGTTAATAAGAGACGGATCAATTGCAGTCCTATCAATCGATGTGAGGATTCATATAACCAATACACGATGAATACTGAAAGTATGCTTTCATAAAATAAACAATGTATGGTACATATGCAAACAGGTATAACTTGTTACACTATATCAGAGGAAAGAGATAGAATTATCAAGATATATGTCAGGATAGAGTGATTAGTAACGCACCTCATGGATTCCACTCCTAGCCACTATCCATCTCTGCTAATAATGCTTGTAATGTAATGCAATATCGCGGCCGTTCGTACAACAACCACATAAGAGACGGATCAATTACAGTCCTAACTATCAATGGGTAGATTCAAATAACCAATACAAATAAATTATAGCTAACGCTTTTCCAGATTTTTCTTTCAAATCTATTTAGATAAAATATGATATAACTTCATTTTAATACATTTTCATTGTTTTTCAGGTATGAAATTATTCTATTTCGTCTGTTTTGTAGAAATAAGACATTGTGGTAGACACGAATGATTTAAACATAATCAGAATGGGAAAACTAAAGTGTGTTATTTTATTCTGCTCAATTCTATTCAGAATAGGGCTATTCATAGGGCTATTATCAATGAAGCCATATTATCATTATAACTCATTGTTACATAATTCAATGCGTTTGATTACATTATATAAAACAATAAAGTATGTGTAATATATACAATGAATATATAAATAAATAATACAATAATGATGATGTTATACTGAAAGAAAGAAAAAACTATGCTTACTTCTTCCCATTCACTAACATAACGAACCAGTCGAGATAATCTTAAAAGTCGTATTAAACTTAAAAGTTTTACAAATCGTAGAAATCTTAGTGCACGGCCTATATTTGAAGAAATAAACAACAATAAAAAATATACTACTGAATAGGGTTAATCTATTTTTTAAAGCTAACAATTTAATAAATGAAAATTTTTATGTGAGGGGCGGGATACTGCCTGAGTGCGCAAACCGAAGCAGATGGTATTCTTAGGAGATCACACTCCAAGCCTCCTACCTGAAAGTTTGATCTACAAGGTAGTGAACATGTAGTCCTATGGTAGCCGGTGACTGACAATAGGGTCATATGCCATTTTTTTCCTTAGGATCTTGGGGATCATGTGCACCATTGGTTTTCCAACTCACCTAGGTGGATCCTCCTTATCCATCAAGTAGGTTAAAGCTCTGGACATTCACTTTTCGTCGTGTTAATTTCGTAAACAACACCCCGGTCGCGAGTAGGCAGTGAGTAAGACTTCCCTGGCAGTGGTTGGATGCACGTGGTCATGTGAGAGCATTTCGAGAGGGAGAGCTAAGTTTTCCCGCTCTCGGCCACACCAGAGTATTTGGGGCCGATAAGAATATACTCACCATAGATTTGTTTTCATCCCATTATTATTGTCAGATGGGTCTTTTTCAGGAGACTTTAAGATTTTATAAAAATGGAATCTCGACTAATATGATAAGAGTTATCAGAATTAAAAAAACATTTTAATGGAACTAAATTTGTCATTTAATAAGTTTATGATTGAATGTATGTTGGTTCTCATGATGCCCAGTTATAATTTTTACAAAAATATTCACGAAAATAACGTGAAAAAGTTAGGAATGAGATTAGGAAGAAGAAAACACAAATTGTTTTTAAGGTAATGACATTACAGCCAGGATAATGCATAAATAACATCAGTGTAAACTGAATTATTGATTCCCGAGCGATAACCAGTAATTGCAGTCATATCAGTTCTGTAAGAGATCAGTCCGTACTTTAATAGCTAACTGATCATGTCTCAAGATGAAAATCTAGGTGATGCATCACTTTATTGAAGATTTGAACCATACCTTGTTGACAAATTCCAACTGACACAAAATCTAGTGCAACAGTCTCCAATCAACTGTTCAGAATCATGAACCATGAACAGAAGCTTTGAAACTATTCATTACTACCATCCAAGATATACTTTGTCAAACCAAATAAATAATTTTGATATAAAATGACACTTATAATGTGAATCAACACTTTTGTCCTTATTCACTGTAGTGATTGGTTCTAAACAATGAAATCAGAATTTCTCTGAATTCATTTCCTTCCTTACTTTTTAATATTATTTTTCTCTTTCGTATTCTGAGGCTTAAAAGTTTCCAAAGTCATTCAAAGCAAAATGACATATATAATAATTTATTTCAACATTACACTAATCGGTAATTGTGAAGTAATCATTATTATGATTTCACGTCTTTAGAACCCAAAGAATTCAATTGACCAGGTTGCACCAGGGTCATTAGGATAAATGACATGACATAGTAATGCAGTTTGTTTGATGTAAGTTGATTAAAAGCAGCATAAATCCATGAAAATAAGTTTTATTTTAACTGATATACATGAAAAAGGCTTGTCTGCAATCTATGACTTGAACAGCCTATTGATCATGCTTGATGTTATGAAAATAGATTAACCGGGTCCCACAAAAATCAACACAACTTTCAGGCTATAATTTTCTTTTTGCTAACACACATCAATCATTATGAATTCAACATGTTTGGCTTTCTTCAAATCTAGTCTACTGGTTTTAAATATATGAACTTGAATTTCAAAACTAATGAAATATAATCAGTATGGATATTTGTACTACTTTCACAATTGTATTCACGAGTCGATTTAAGCAAGACAATCACTGAAATCCTTATATGGGACCCCTGAGCAGTGCACATTCACAATTCCATACATGGGACTCGAACCCAGGATCTTTGGTCTCACGCGTGAAGTATCGTTCAAGTAAAATACGACTGAGAATTTTGGTAAAACTCTTATGGCCAGGTAATCTGACTCAACCAAAAACAAATGTTTATCTATAACGCGAATTAGTAAATTGGTAAATAACAACAACAACAACGACAATATCATAAAGAAAAAGAACTCGATGAAACTTACCAGCGTGAACAAATTGTGTAAAATTTTCATTATCATGTAATATAAGATAAATATAATCCAATGGTAATGAGCTTAATAAATCTAGAAGAAACCATGTTTTCAAATATTGTCGTGCAATTTCCTTAGGATTGAGCATAATTTCATCTGCAAAATTATTCTTTATTATTCCTATAAATTTTGTTGTTGTTGTGAAATTGGATAACAAAACAATGAAGACATTGAAGTAGACAATAAGTTACCATTATACATATATATATGTATATATATATCATTAGTTATTGTGTACATTATGAAAAGATACTTATGTTTTGAATCTTTTTATAAATGTTAATTAGTATCAGAAGGGATTTTGTGGAGATTGTAGTAATTCCAATAGTTGAAATCATGAGTCAATTGTAGCTAGACAACTATGGAAAACTTGGAAGAATTAGAAGGCCGTTTCGTCATATTGTGGGACTCCTCAGCAGTGTGCATCCACGATCTCGCCTCGCGAGAGCTTAACCACTAGACTACTAAGCCAATCTTAATTACTTTAATCATTTTGTAATGTCAGTACATTTTCAGAACAGAGTATCATCCCATCAAATGTACTATTTCTCTTATGAATATATTACTGATTATTAATAAGCTTTGTATCCAATTTATCAATTCATCTTGAAGTAGGTTAAGTGCATGCGGAAATAAAATTTTTTGATTCAAAATTTTCCTCTATTTTGACAAATCTTCAAGTTATATTTAATTCGATAAATCTTTGGTGACCCTAAATCTGACTCCAGGTCGATCGTCGAATGTTTGTTGTCGAAATATACATATCTCCGATTCCCGTATATTATCATCGACTTGAAAGGCGTTGGTGAATAACAGAATTAAATAAGTGAAATACGAAAACGGATTTTTGAACATGTATATTTTGTAGAATCGTCGATTGGAACAGACAATCAAAGAGACGTAACAAAGGAAGAGAAGAAGAGAGAGCGAAGCAAAAAGAAATGACGCTCAGTGAAGAAGGCATGTGAGCCAACGCCATTTAGTCAAGCATGAATCGTTTTTATAGTCGAACAAAAATAAATTACAGACATGTGATGAATGAGATAAGAAGTGTACACACACGCGTACATAAAAACAACCAAGGTTGATAGGCGGATAACTGACAAGATCAAAACGTGACTATCGTAACCAATGGTTGGAGACTCTTAGTGACATGGCTCAGAATCGATCACAATGGCGTCGGTGTATACACTCTCTGTCTTCTTTTAAACTAAGAGATTAAAATCGCTTCATATCTTTCTTTCTACCAACCAAATCTTTCTTCCTGTACTATATCCTTATTGCAATCTTTTTTATGTATTACCACCTCTGAATTAACTACTTTTATTAATCCGGTGTTGATCTCTACATAAGGTAGAGTAACTCAGGACCAACATCTGTAACCGCGATACTGGATGATACAAATGCTCATCCTATAATAAACACCAGTTCTGTCAAGATTCTATTTACTAACAAGGGCGAACTGACACAAAATACCATACCAGACCACCTTTCCACATTACATCTAATTATCTAATATTATCTACTCATTGTTTATAATATTAGATAACTCCTCCTGAAGCCCCTCTGGGGCTACTGCCGATCTCAAACCCGGATAGAGGAGGAGGGTTAGGAGTGGGGCTAGCAACCACATCGCGTAGAAAACTAACTCGCTAAAAAAACGCTAACCCGAAAAAAATTATTCAAACAATTTAAACTCTGCTCCAGGGAGTCAGGAAGTCTTCATTTAGAAAAGTTATGAGTTCTCATAGTGAAAATCGAGTTTCTTCGAAATTCACGAGGTTGATGCCCCTTCTGACAACCAGAGCAACCATTAATTTAGGTACATGGAATACTCGTACAATATTGGAGACTGGGAGAGTCTTCCAAATTGCTGCAGAAAAATCTACTCACTATTACATTATACTCGAATACAGTAAAATTAATGATCCATAATATTAAACAAAGTAACTTCCTTAATCATTTTCAATGTCAATCACTCTATCTTTTCTCAAAATCTTCCTTCATAAATATACATGCATATGAATATGCTTCGAATGTTTTGCATTTTCTCAAGACTTATTTCTCTTCAATAGTTGAATAATTGATTGACATTCTATAAATGCAATATATGCATATATATATACATAATAGTTATTGTCTGAAACAATTTTAGATTTATTTAAAAGCATTATCTAATACAATATGTTTCCTTTAATTTTTATCCATTATAAGGTAATTGTTTTTTATATAAATAATAAAACAATAGGCGAATATAAAGATAAAATCAAAATCAGAATAGAAGAAGTGGTAATAGGAAGAAAAAGAATGAGTAAAATAGAAGAAGAGGAAGAAGAGGAAGAAGAAGGTGATGATGACGAAGCAGAAGAAGAAGAAGAAGAAGAGGAAATTGTGTAGGATTGTTGATGTAGAGATTAAAACTGTAAATAACCAAACGAATTACGTCATGACAGTCAATAACGACAACATTATCAACAGTACGTCAATAATAATAATAATAGTAATAATAATAATAATAATAATGATTAAGTGACATAGAAATGCATCATACAATAGGTTAGGAAGATCAATAGAATTCTTCTTTCACATCATTCGTTATATTCCTTTTCACTTTTTGTTTTCTATGAAACATCATTCATCACTTTAATTACTATTTATTTGTAAGTAGTATTCTAAATAAAGATAATCTGAATTGATCAGTTCTCTAATATAGAAAGAGTTAAAAGGGATAGAATGTATGGTGTTTTATTATTATTATTATTGATAAGTCTTGCAGATTGAACGCTATATTTGTTTCCTAAGCTATTCTGTAACCCCCAAGCTAGAATTATACAGCGACATGAACACGAGAGAGAAGACTCAAAGTATGCGAGAAGTAGTTTACTCCAAGGTTCATTTTAATACAGAAAATACAGGGTTTTTATATTTTAAATGTCTTTAAGTTGCTAGAAGATTCTGGAATGCTACTAAACATAGTAGCAGTGTAGCAGCCAACCAATCAGAACCTTGATATTTTTGGCTAAGACTTCAAGTGAACTCTGATTGGATGAAACGCTTCTTAGTGTTTCCTGATGCTTGCTTGTCTTTTGCAAGCAATTTTCTGGATCACCCCAACAATTATTATTATTGTTATTACTATTATTATTATTATTATATCAATAAACCAATTTTTATACTAACTCTGCCTGGAGTCCCTCTGCAGCTACTGCCGGTCCCAAGTTCAGATGAAGTAGGAGGGTCGGGCATGGGGTTAACGACCACATCGTGTAGAAAACTAACTCGCTAAAAACAATGCTAAGCCGAAAAAAATTATTCAAACAATTTAAACTCTGGAAGTCTTCATTTAGAAGAGTTATGATGCCTCATGGTGAAAACCGAGTTTCTTCGAAATTCACTTGGTTGATGCCCCTTCTAACAACCAGAGCAACCTTTTATTTAGCTACATGGATTACTCGTACAACATAGGAGACTGGGAGAGTCTTCCAAATTGCTGCAGAATTTTTATACTCGTTATATCTACTTAATTTAAACGAACACTCACTAAAACTAAGAAGCAATTCATTTCATGAATGAATATTGGTTGAAAAAATGTTGGAAACAGAAAAAAAAACACAACCAAAAACAGGACAAACAAAATAGGAGAGTAGAATTAGCTTATTTTTGACCTAATTTAATAATATGTATCAGTGATGATAAACAAATCCATATAGATTGAATATGAATACTTTAAGTGATATATTGACATGTAAAGTCAAGTGAGTAATTATTGACCATTACTATCCATTAAGTAATATGAGGATAAATATGATCTTAAGATTATAACTGACAAGTATTAATGTTATTGTACTTAACCTAATAAGATTAGCTAACATTGGATTATTCGGTTGTTTATCGAAACAATCAAATAATAGTAAATATACCTTAATAGATTGAATTTATACCAGTTTGCTTATTGTTATGAACGCTAACTATAGATCAACATAAAAAGAAATACACTATTGAGGTGTTCTATAATGGAACAAAACAGCTGTCTAATGCTTCCAGGTTCTCAATGATGTTCTAGCTAAGATAGTGATTTAAACTGTAAAAAGTCTACAATTTCCAAAATACCCATAATAATATGCAAATGATAATCTTGAACATTTTTCTAGCCGATAATAATTACTGACTACGATTTAAAAAACCAAAATCTTTTATAGAAAACCATAAATCATGTATACAGTAGTCTCTTAATACAGACTCTACATGAACTGGCATTCAAATACTAAGTTTCATGTGAGTTAATAATGACACCAAAAAACCTAATATAAAAGTAGAATCAATACTAACGAGTAATATAATCTTACCTGTGCGAAAATTCACGCCAATATCAATTAGAAATACTGTATCCGATACACAATTGAATACAATCCAATGTATACTTAGATCATCATTGAAGAAAGAGATTGCCACCGGTAGAATGATAAGATTTGCAATTAACAATAATAACATGATTAAATCCCAATAAAATCTAAAAGAAGAAAAAGAAACAATAACATTTTATTGTACTACATCTTTGATTATTGTAGATATTGTTTCATCAAAATATAATTTATATCAGAGGTCAACCTCAGTTGAAGAAATGTTTAAAACCTAGAAGTATTAAATGGTTATTTTACCCTATTATGAAACTCTTCATAAGTACATATTCATAACCTCTTCAAAGAATCAATGGTTACATCACGGACTGGCTGAAATTATGTTATCCATTAGTTTAAAGGTAAGCAAACGCATATGGAGAAATTTGAACACTTCACTCCTATCTGAAGTTTGTGCTGATGATGTCGTTCAGAAGAAGGATGAAAGCTCTACGACCGAACCATCCAGCTCAGAGAACAAAACTTCACCAAAAATAGTCAAAATGTTCTAGATTAAATGTATGGTGGCATTATGAGTGTGATAGGTCTTATACTAAAGTGAAATATCTAGCCAATGCATTCTAGTTATTAATGATTGTTTCAGTTTAGCTATTTCATGATTTAAACTGTTATTTAATCAAGTATTACACATTCAGTTGAAATAAATGTTTTGAAGCTGAATAATGTCTTATAGCAACTCACGTGGAATTCAGTTGGTTCACATTTAATTCGGTTAAGTCATTTTATTAACTTATTAACGAACTGAGTCATCCGTACAACAAAAAATTATCTATTTCATTGTATCTTTATTATTGTTGCGAATGTATGAACATGTATGCTTGAGCATTGCTTAAGGGCCTCGCATTTATTCACGCTGCTAGCATTACTACTAACCTCTTAATTGATTCGATGATTCATTCATTTCACTATGTATATATATATCCATGTTATTCATATCCATTGCTCTCACTCGCTTAAGTGTACTCGCTTCCTCGCACTCATATTAGCTGACTCACTCGCTCGCTCGCTTGCATTCCGGCACAACTCCTTCATGCTTGTTCAACGCACCTGCAATTTCGGATATCTGCGTGTATGGTCCCATAATAAACATAATCAACACTTCGTATTCGCCTTCTGATTAATATATCGTTGCGGTGTTATTTAGTGACGGTTATCAAGACGAACTGTATACGAAGTTTAAGGATTATATGGAATACCGACCACCACAGTCTGTTATATTCAATTCAACACAACCATCCTGGATTGATACACCTTTCTAATGATCATGTATATACTATTTTGACTTAAGTAATAATTAAATGAAAATGAAATGCTTAACACATTTCCAAGTGAAAAGATTTATTATTTACATATTTTAAGATAGTCATTAGTCACGTAATCGTTATCAGCAATAAACTAAATTCATCTTAACATTATAGTTTTCTGATCAAATGAATTCTTGTATCCTGAATTATATGTTTGGAAGAAAAAAGAAAAGAGATTGTTAGGAGTTGGAAATAACACTCATAAATGATGTTTACAATACTAATTTATTAACATATAGGTTTATATATTATGACTTAAAATACTAGACAAATCCTAATTACTTACTTACTTACGTCTGTCATTCCTCATGGAGGAGCATAGGCCACTCAAAAACAATCTTTATCCAACTCTGTCCTGGGCAATCCTTTCCAGTTATTTCCACTTGTTATTCGTCCTTTTCATATCTGATTCTATTTGCCAGCGTACTGTATTCTTTAGCCTTCCTCTTTTCCGCTTCCCTTCAGCATTCCATGTTAGGGCTTGCCTCGTGATGCAGTTTGATGATTTCCGTAATGTATGTCCTATCCACCAACTCCATCGTCTTTTCCTCATCTCCTATTCAGATGGAGGCTGGTTTGTTCTCACCCACAGTAGGCTGTTGCTGATGGTATCCGGTCTATGGATGTTGAGTATCTTGCGTAGACAACTGTTTATAAATACTTGTGCATTCTTGATGAGAGTTGTAGTAGTTCTCTACATTTCGGCTCCGTACAGTAGGACTGGCTATCTTGACGTCCGTATTGAAGATTGTGACTTTTGGGTTGGTTGACAGTTGTTTTTAGTTCCATATGTTCATCAATTGTAGGAATGTGGTCCTTGCTTTACCAATCCTCGTTGTTCATGGATGATGCTTTCCATGTACATGAAAGGCTCCACATCTTTCAGAGCGTCTCTATAAAGTGTGATGGTGTTGGTTTTCACCGTGCTGTATTTGAGGATCTTGCTTTTTCCTTTGTGTATATTGAGCCAGAAAAATTCTACCTAACTCATAAAACCTTACAGTTAAAACCTAATGTCATGTTTTTTTATCATTATTAATTTTTACATTCTTATTGTATAGGATGTATCTTAATAATGTTAAGCATTTATTTATGAGTTAACTTATATCATATCCATAAAAAGAGTGTAAGTATTTGGTGTGTGCTACTTATATTGACATAAGTAGTATATGATATTAGTCGTGAACAGAAGGTCTGGCAGAAGAGAGACAAGAGGATCGAACAGGAAAGAATGGAAACACTATGCAATTTGTATGAAAATGCAAGAACAATGAAGTCTGAGTTATTTTGAGACAATTGGTGGATATTTTGCAAATTAAGCATTTACTTTATGGTTGCTAGAGTTTATTAGCAAGTCCTGTAATTTTAAGTTAAATACATTCGATTGTCCCCACCCGTGTTCTGTTCACTACAAATACTCAAATCTCAAGTCACGCTTAACAATAGTTTTTTTTGGTAGGACATTGAAAATAACTACAGTGCAATCATCAATAATGGATAATCTGATGACAACCAACAATCAAAAAATGGAGCATTTGTTGGAGGTAAATGTTTTCAATTTAAAGAAAAACGTTAAAATTAACCTACTCTTAAGGGCTTAAGAAACGTTAATGACAATCCTATTAAATCAATAGGTTTTAATGTGCTTTAAAAAAATGTAATTTACGTACAAAACCCAAAGAAGATTGTCTAGGATAGCTTATTGCATGAATTCAAATTCAAATATGATTTGTTCAAGACTCAGTTGACTTTGTTCTTTTAAAATCTAAGATCTTTATTTAACATATTCCACCAAATCCCATCGGAGGTAGAAATCAGGAAGAAGAGCTGGAAGTGGATAGGACATACATTGAGGAAAGCACTCAACTGTGTCACAAAACAAGCCCCCACATGGAATCCTCAAGGCCAAATTGGAGGAGGAGAGGAAGACCAAAAAACACATTACTCCGGGAAATGGAGATAGACATGAGAAAAATGAACAAGAATTGGATGGAACTAGAAAAGAAGGCCCAGGACATAGTGGGTTGGAGAATGCTGGTCGGCGGCCTATGCTCCATTGGAAGTAACTGGCGTAAGTAAGTAAGTAAGTAATTGAAGTATGTTTGTTACAATATTGAATGTACTTGAATTGTAATTTACTTGACTTGTATCTCCTTTTTTTGGTATTGTACTGATAGAATGCAATGTGAATCTTTGGAAACAATTATCTATATGAAAATTTTCATATTACTTTACGGTGTAGATGAAACATTTTAGCTTCAAATATTTAGTTACTAATAAGTAGTGTATATGTTCAAAAAATCTACATTTTTGGTTAGTATTTTTATCAAATATTAGATTACGATGTGAACTTTAATAAAATAAATCCATTTCACGTTTTATTATTGTTTTATCTTAAAGGTATTCACAAGCAAATAATGTGTGTTACTCACTCTCGAGAAGTAAGCATCAACGATCCCGCATGTGAGGTTCGAACGGAACGGCCACTCAATGCTTCAAGGTTTTCAGTGGTGGTCTAGCATAATTCAGCTCATGAATTCAACTATTAAAAAGTTTAAATATTCAACAGAAAACATTTTAGCTGTTTGACTAGATTAAGCTTAAACGACTGTTTTACTCTTCATGGATGAAGTTGTTCTTCAAAAAATAACCGACTCATTATTTGATCCTAAGAGTAGATAAAACCTGGAGACTAATGGTTAATTATTGTAATTAAAGAAGTGATTATATTCCAGCCCACAAAGACTATTTAAAATAAAACTGACTTGATATAGCCAATTAAAAATATTATACAAGAATGATTACGATAACCTTGTAGGTTCTTTCGATAAATACATGGGCATGATAATTAAAAGTTTAACCCAATTATGTAATTTAACATCACTTTAGATAATTATAAGAAAGGGGTCAAAGAAAACCACTGAAGATTTGAGTTGTAATGAAATAATTTTTTAGCATTAAAATTAGGTTTAGTTCCTATATTGCTTGGAGTTTACAAAGACTTGGAAATGAGAACATTTGAAAACTGATATAAAGATTATAATAATTTTTGTCTCCCTTATCTACATTACTAGAGTTCAAAAAGACTTCACTAATTATAAATAAATGAAATTTCTTGAAGCTCTCATATACTGTTAGTCTCTATTGCAATTAAGAGAAAAGAATTGATAACGTCTGACTGTGAAGCTAGGAGACACGGGATAGAATCCGTCAGAAAACATCAGTTCTCTTAAGATTACAGAGACACTCTGCTGACGAGTGCCAAGTAGCACAAAACCTAAGTCTAGGCTTTCCTGTTGACTATCTCTAACCACCATCTTAATAAAAAAGAAGATCAAACAATTCATTCAACTTAGGCCATTTATCCAAATATCTACAGATTTAATCCTTTTCATATTTCACACCGCTAACAAACACAAATCATTTTAATCTTACTCTTCCATATTATAAATATCACATTTTCCATACTTATTAACACACACACACAGAGACATAAGTTGATCTCACTCACAATTACCATAATTTAAATTATATAATATTAACATGATCACATCTATCTTAATTGTAGTTATCCCGTAAATATTCTATATTATTAGCTTTAAACGATTTAAACTAGTGTTAATTTAACTTATTTATTTATTCTCCGAAAAAATGGCTTACATCTAGTTACAATACGTCAGAACTTCAATTTCCTACCCATTAAGATTACAAAACTATATCATTATCCTCATTATTACTGTGGTGCGTGCTACTTATATTGATATAAGTAGTATATTATGCCAGTCTGA